ATAAATAATTAATATAACATTAACAATTCTTAATACGAAAATTCAAATTTATTATTCATTACTAAAAAAAAAAAAAGAAAAAAAAAACTGAGAGAGGGATTGTATAAATGAAAATTTATTAATATTAAGTTCCACACATGGTTAAGCCTAAGATAAACAACTACAAAAGTCAAATAAGAAGAAAATATATTAAATATGAATTATTCTGAAAAACAAAGATTTATAATTTTTTAAAGTTTTGTTTCAAAATGTCTATCACTATCAGGACTAAACTAAGCCATCCACAGTGCTTACCTTCGAGCCTCGTTCATTAAAAATAATTTCAACATCTAGTATTGGACCAAATTGCTGAAAGTAAAAATAATATCAATAAATATAAGAAATAATTACGAAAAAAAAATGAAATAAATGTTATCCGTAACGACCATATCAAATTATCTTAGTATAAATATATTATTAAATGTACAAACTTCTTATTTATTTACATTTAAAATCCAACAAAGTTATTAATATCAATAAATAAGTTCGTGTGGAATTAATTTTACCTTCTTTTAAATCACTCGCCATATCAGTAGTTTTTATTTAAAATAATTGAAACCACACTGTAACAGAAGTAACGGTTAATCAAAACGATATGCAGCTCGCCAGAAAGTGCCGATAAAGTATTGTTAACTAATAATGATTGCCCAAACTTACCCCAAACAATTGCCTGAGGTCAGAATCGCGAAACCGAAATGGGATGTTACTGATATGGAGACGTTTTGGCTGGTTAGGCTTAGAAGTATTAAGACCAATTGTTGTTGTTTGGGTGGCCACTTGTCCTTGACCTCCTGACGAAAATTCTAGGTCTAAGTCCGTTTGCTAAGAAGCAAATAAAAAAATAATCAAATCTCAATTTTCACGTTGTAATCGCTAACTATTAATTAAAATTACCTAAATATTGTACATGAATTTTATTAAAACAGTTAGTTTATTTCCTAATTGTGTAACTGTTTTGATAACTTAGTTTATTTTTATGAGAAACATCTTAATTTAGCATTTTAGCAAATAACCAAAAGATACATGGATTCCATTATTACCAATACCCCTGGTGAGAGCTAGGTGAATTAACTATTAACCAATAGATTTATGGATATATATCTAAATATAACATTTGAAAATAAAATTACTCTTTTTATATCTTTACAGAACATGTTTATCAAACAAGCACAGTATTATTACAAAATTATAATGAAATATATATACCTAAATAATGTTTTAAACGTGCAATTAGAAATAACACGTCATTGTGGAGCCACACGATTGAAAGTAATAATTTAGTAGGCTTAACTACGTTTTTTCATGCTGCATAAAAAGCCCTATTTGTTAAATTATTTGGCCAATTGCTCTAACAAATGGTATTTTACTGATGCTACAAGAATTTAACTTTAGTGAATTTATTTTTTCGCTTTTGTATAGTAAAATATATTTTATCTGTTTATTGTTGTGAATTTCTCAATTTGCTTACACGTACGTTTTATAGTGTAGGCCTAGATAGTATATAATGTTAGGCAGGGCTAAATACATTAAAATTGGCCTAATTAGACCTCAGATTTGTAAATATATATAACCTGTATGTAGTGAATACTTAGAATAGGCTAACCTTATTATTTCATTAATATATCAGTTTTATCTGTAGAATGTGATGCAGGAAAATCAACATTTTCGTAAGAGCATATAACATTCCGAATTTTTAATAATCAAGAAAGAGAAAAACCCAGCTGGACATACATTGTAAAAAAAAATATAGACATGAACTATTATGTTAATTTTTTTCTTTTTTAAACTGCGAGCTGTTAGCCCTCTCATCTTACCGGAATTTTCACCGAAGCAACGATGAAGGTTCCAGTATGGGCGGCCAAAAACCTCGAAATTAAAGAAAGGGTATTTATATAGAAAACATTTCGTGTATATTATCTACATACAGCTTACAATGTAAGCTTGCCATGACTTACATCATTTTATTCCAAATATCATTGTTTCACTAAAAAGAAAAATATTTGAGGTCCTATCTGTCATTCGATTTATCACTTCTCATTGAGGTATATCTCTTTGAGGAATTTCACTCCTCCTCAGTAATCCTGGACACAAGAGCAAATGGAAAGAGTAAGACCTGTGATTCTACGTAAATATACTTTAATATATCATCAGTATGGTGGGGAAAAAATAAGGACTTCTCAAAACACCAGGCATTTAATTATTCTTTCATGTTTGTGACGTAATACTCCGTATATGGGGACGGCAATAAAAATATTCATAATTTATGAATGAAGAAAAAGAAACAAAGTCTGTATTTATATTTCAATTATAAGTCAAGTTTGCAGCTGATGGCCAATCGTTACAACTGATGTTATAATAATGAAAATCGCGCCCATATACAAATAAGAAAATATATTATTAATATAGATATTTGTAAAAATATTTAGGCCTAGCCCTTGATAATCTTGGTCGAGTTGTGTTAATGCTGTTGGAATGTTTCTCATTTTTGACGGAAGACGTCGCATTTATTTTTCTTTATGTTTTAACGCCAGGTTGATAATATATGTGTTAAAATACCAAAAGAATATTTATTAATTAACATTTGTTCACCACTTAAAACTTTTAAACACTGATTCTATAACGTTAGTAATAGTAGGCCTATCTGTAGTCTAATTTAAGCATTAGGCCTAATAAATAAACGTAACGTAAGGCTTAGCTGAAACACTACTTGGTCACTAATATTTTGCTTCTGGCTACAACTCAGTGTCATAAAACATGTGAATTAAACAATTCTGCTGTTATATCACTGAAGTTGTCAAAAAACTGAAGAATAAAAACAAACCTTTCGAACAAATAAACTAGCATTCAACATAAACACCATAATTGTCTAAGAACAATCAGGTGGTAATTTTGTTTCTAAACGACGTCATATATTGTTGAACATTAACAAAACGAAGCATGAAAGCGTTCTCGACAGAGTAACAAGGGGAATAAGCATTTTTTTTTTAACTTAGCGATTGTGGATTATTTGCAAGTTTCGTTCAAAATATGAATTGTCGCTATGGATTGTCCTTTGGTGGGTCAGCGATAAGTTTACGGACTTTTTTTTTTATTCCTGTAAACTCCCAGTGGAGCATAGGGCCGCAACAACACCTCGCCAACGAAATGTGTTGTTGCAGTTACTTGTAGCAGGTTGGTTTTTACGGGGTGGAGTTGC